AAATGCCAAGTGGATGTCCCTGGTCTGAACTGCCACTTGGGCAAGGGAGAGATGACAACACATACAACACCCCCAGCCCCTGCCACCTACAGCAGGCAGGAAAGCTGGCCTGGAGGTCATCGGAGCAGGAGAGCTGACCCTGCCCCTTGCTTGCCTGCTGTAAACATGTTGATGTTGTGCAGAACTGGCCCCATCCCTCACCCCTGCACCCCTGGGCACTGGGGAAAAGCTGGTTTTGGGAGAAGAGAGGAGAGCTGACCCCACCTCTAGCTAGCTACAGTACTTGGGAGAGTAGTCCACACACTGTGGAAGTTGTGACTAAGCCCCTCCCCCAAGGATACGAACATGGGAGACCTGACCTTACCACTCATCTCCCATGAGGTGGTCCGGTTGAGGGAGAGATATCTTCTCTTCCCTAGCCCCTCTTACCTGTGGCAGTTGGGAGACCTGGTCCTAGGGTCATGAGAACAGGCCCTCCCCTCACCATCTGTAGACTGTGGGAGAGGGGCCATTGCATCTCACCTGGGCAGTACAGTAAGTAGAGCTGACCCTGGTGGCAGGGGTGCAGGTGAACTGGCCCCAAGGTTGTGAGCATGGGAGAGCTGGCCCTGCCACTTGTCTGCTGTGCAGTAACATGGGCAAGGAAGAGATGGCCATGCACACAGCATCTCTAATCCCTTGCCACCTACAGCAGGCAGAAGAGTTGGCCCTGAGGCCACCAGAGCGGGAGAGCTGGTCTTGTCCCTCACCTACTGTAGAACTTGAGAGAACGGGCCCTGTACCTCGCCTAGGCAGCCTTGGAGTAGTCACAGAAACCAGTACTCTAGTAGACAGAAGGACAGAACAACACTGTGAACAAAGGAGGTTGCAGGGAACTTCTTGGAGGCTGGCTACCACACATCACACTTTAAGAAATCGACACCCCCCTCAAAACAAACAAACAAACAAACAAACAAACAAACAACAGATTGCCACCAGCTCACACTGAGAACTATTTACTCCAGCAAACTGTAGCTTGGAACAGATGACCAGAAAGGGTCCTAAGGTGGGGGGAGAGGCAGCTCAGAAAGAATGTGCTAGGCCAGTGAGATAGCTCATTGGAAAAGGTGCTTTCTGTCACCCGTGATGAACTCAGTTCAATTCCTGAAATACAATTGGTAAAAGAGAGATCTGACACGTGCCAGGTGTCCTCCACACATGTGCCATGGTCTGCTGGGGTGGTGTATGCACACATGCTTGCACATGTGAATACATACACACACAAAATAAAATTAAATTTAATTTATATGGCTGAAGGGATGCTCCTGCAGAAGATTCAGGTTCAGTTTCCTACATCCATTAAGGCAGTTCACAACTTCCCGTAACTCCAGCTCTGGGGTATCGAAAGCCTTCTTCTGGCCTCCATGGTTACTTGCATACATGCCTACATATAGTGCACATACATGTACTCAGGTGCACATACGCTCATACATATGTTCACATACACATATCCACACAGAATAAAATACATGTTTTAAAATGTAATTTTTATAAAAGGATATGCTAAGAGCACACTTTCCATCACTTTATACTTTTTTCCTAGACACTGCTCTGAACTGAACTAGTATCCTTGGCAGGTAGTAAAACATAAAATGTGTTACATAATAGGTTGGGTAGTTTTCAGTATAAACAATGGGGCTAGAGTTATGAACGGTTATTCATCGGGCAATTAGGAAACTCAGCCTATGTCATTCTATTTATGACATTGTAGAGCAGAAAGTGCATCTCAGTACACAATGCCCTTTTGTGGCAGCAGGATGGGACACAGAAGTGGATGCCAACAACATCAAGGCATCCTTTTTGGCATTATTGATCAGAAGGAGGATAACAGCTTTCCTTGGAGCCATCAGAAACTGTTGGCCTCTGGCCACCTTGCTCTTGCATCCCATCGAAATGTCTCACTCTCTTGCTCTTTTTACTTCCAGGTTTTTAGACAAAAAGATCACTACATGACTCAGGTTGGCCTCAAACTCCAGGCAATCTGCCTACATTAACTTCCTGAAGAGTAGAATTAGAGGCAAGCATTACCATCTACTATACTTAACTCACATGCTCTCTCTTGCTCTTTCTCTCCTTTCCCTCCCCCACCTCCCTCCATTTTTGGGATAGGGCTTGACTATGTTGCTTACACTGATCTTAAACTCATGGCTTTCTTCCTGCTTCTAACTGCTGAGATTACAGGTATGTGCCTCCATATCCAGCTACCCTTGGTTCTTTGACTCTCATTTTTCTGTCTTCAGTTCCTGGTGCCAGGCTCCGACATGACTGATTGAGACTTGTTATTTTGAGCTGCAGAGTCCCCGATTGCTCACTGCACTTGTCCTGGCTCCATTATCCCTGGATATCCTCTTTTCTATCCACTCTCTGTCCTACCTGATTTAGACCTGGTGCTGTAATTCCTTCTGGCCTAGCTAAATGTTTCACAGTCTAGTTTAAAAAAAAAAAATCTTGTGAGACATATTTCAGGCTGCCCTCAAATTTGCAATTCTTCTTCCTCAGCTTCCTAAATACTGAAATTACAGGCAAACACTGTCACAACTGGACACAATCTGTTTTTTGTAGGGATTTTTGTTTTTGTGTCTGATACTGAGGATCAAAACGGGGGGCCTCACACTCATTAGCCACACAGAAAAATCCATGATTTAATTTTTTATCTGTTCTTTCATCCATCCATCCATCCATCCATCCAACTTAGTTATCTTTTTATCAAAAAGGACAATTTTTCTGTAACATAATTATTGCTGAAGACTCCATGGCATGGGTTTTCTTTCCTTCAGCATTGTATTGACTTATTTTTGTGTTGCTGGGGATTGAACTCAAGACTTAACCCATGCTCGGTAGGCACTCAAACACTGAGTTATACCCCCAGACCTTTTTCTCTCAATTTTTTTTTCTTTCTTTTCTCTCTGTCTTTCTTTTAAGGCAGCATTTCATCATATAGCCTTACTTAGCGTGGAGCTCTCTGTATAGATCAGGCTGTCCTTGAACTCCCAGAGAACTGGCTCTGCCTGTCCTCTGGAATTAAGAGTGAGCTACCACACCCTATATCAGTATTTTCAAAGGTATGTTTTTTATTTGTATGGGAGAGTTGACACAAATGTATAATTACAAGCTTTGAAAATATAGTTTCATACAAAAAAATCGTAAATGGTTGAAATCATTTTCAACTTTTTTTTTTTTTTAAATCTGGGAGGAGGCATGGGTTTCAAGGCAGATGTGTAAGCCAAATGTCCAGCCAAAAGATGGGGTTAAAACTTTAGACTATCAATGTTGATATCGGGACAATACAAAGCTGAGTGTAGCTGATGGTGTGAGGATAACCCAGCTGGTTTTACACACGTTTTATGTGTTGTTTAAGTTAAATGTGGCTTAAACTAAAAATACTAAATCACTATTATACATTACTGTGGTGTACCTGCTTGATGACTTGCATACTGACAGAAAGATAACATCAATAATATAAACTAATAGGCAATGTTAGGAATGTTTCAACGTAATTTAATATGAATAATTATATTTTTACGGCTTGTTTTTGAAACAAAGTGTTTTGTAGCCCAGGCTGGTCTCGAATTCCCAGATCCTGTTGCCTCTACTCACCAAGTGTTGGGATTATAGTCATGCACTGCTTTGCCAGACTGATAAGCCTTTAAGTTGTTCGAGGTTTTGGGGAACTATGATAATCGAATACTTCAAAAGGGCTTTATCCCAGTGACTTCTCAAAGAGCTTCTCAGAACAGTACACAATGATGAAAACTTCAGCAATAAAAGATGAATAAACTGAGACGAACATTCACAACTGAATTTTCCTGTTGTTTTACTGTTCTACCGAGTTATCTTCGGACGCTTGTCTATCTTAAATTTTGTCTCAAGGATGTCAGGGGATGCTTAGCCTTGTAAAGTGTGGCAGGGTTCCCTACCGAACACAGTTGTACATCCAGATTCCTTCAGAGGGAAGGGAGGCCAGGTGGAAGTCTCGTTCCTCAGTCTTTGCTCCACTTCCGCCGCGTTCAAGGCCACCTGAGGGGCGGAGCACAGCAACTCGCCCGTGAAGAACAGCTGCATCCCACAGCTCCAGGCAAGGAGGAGAAGGCAGAGCTAGGGCCAGGAGCGCACCCACGCGCAGGCGCCGCTGGGGGACGCGGAGGGGCGGGGCGGCGCCGCGCCGATCCGCCGCGCGCCGCCGCGTCAGCAGCGTGCTGCACGTGCCCGTGTTTACGTCCCTCGTGGAGCCGCCTACGTCAGCGTCGAATGGCAACATTGTGGCGACGCCGAGACCCATAGTTCAGGAGTCTGCTTTCTGGT